TTAGTTATTCTGACAGTCCAAAGTATCCGCAACATTCTTCTCAAGAACCACATCTCAGTTGCCTCTATTAGTTGGTCTTATCTTTTGAGCCTAGAGCGGCGCATAGGACAGGTCATAGCTCTCCATGTCTGGCGGTTCGTTGCCACCTGCTTTAGGTCTTGCATGTTTGTTAGGCCCATGGTTGAGCCTTCCCTGATGATGGTTTTACGTAGTCTCTTTTGGTCTTCCCCATTTTCTTTTCCCTTCCGGTATCCATAAAGGGGCTTGATGGGAAAGTCTTGTCTTATCCATTCTGAGTGCATGGCTAATGTAGTTCCAGCGGCGCTTTCTTAAAAAACTGGATACATTATCTTGCTTGGTCTCTTGTCTTATTTGCGTATATGAAATGATTCTGTCTAGTGGAGATTTACTATTCTTCTAAGACACCTGTTCTCAAAACTATTTTTTTTTTATCTAGAGCTACCATTGCTTTCCAACTCTCTATTACCAACTCTGTTAGATGAATTCATTTTTTTATGGTTACCCCCACAGTGTGCAAAATGCAAGGAATACTTTGTTGGCACACCAACTAATGGGCACCAGTGCTACCGTCAGATGAACGTCGACAGAGATTACTGCTTTGATCCAGAGACACAGAACAACTGTAACCACAACCCCAAGGCCTTAAAATTGGGCAGGACAGTGTTCTTTGTTGTGCAGCCCAAGTATGTGAATGTGGACATTCGAGTGACCATAGATGTCACGGAAGGAAGTGAGTATGCTCATCTTGTTATAATTCGCTTGTTGCGTTTTTCTTTTTGTCCTTATTGTGTGGTTTTGGTGGTCATGTCTATTCACAACCTTCTGTCTCATGTACTTTCAGTCAGTTCTGTCACATATGATCTTCCATAGTGTGTTTGTATTTGTGCGTATCTGTGTGTGTTTATGTGAGTCTGAGTGTATCTGTGTGCATGTATGTTTGTGTGTGTCTGTGGGTGTGTCTGTATGTATGTTTGTGTGTGTCTGTGGGTTTTGTGTGTGTGGGTGTGTCTGTATGATGTGTAAATGTCAGTGTGTGTGTTTTGTGCATGTCTTTGTGTGTGTGCATGTGTGTGTGTGTGTCTGTCTGTCTGTCTGTGTGTGTGTGTGTGTGTGTGTGTGTGCATGTCTGTGTGTGTATGTCTATGTGTACCTGTGTGTGTGCGTGTGTGTGTTTATGTATGTATGTATGTATGTAGTGTGTGTGTGTGTATGTATGTATGTAGTGCGTGCATGTGTGTGTGTAAGTGAGTGAGTGAATGGGTGTGCGTGTTTGTGTGCACTCGAGTTTGCTCTTAATATGCATATTGTTATATAAACATAACATGCTATTTTGATGAAATACAACTGTTGTTTGAAAGATGTGTGTTAGGAAGGGCCGAATGTAAGATGGACCAGCGGGCCAAATTTGTGACCCCTTTAAAAATAAAGTTCATTTGCTTATTCCCTCTTATGACATGCCTGAAGAATGTAGATTGTTTCCTTCTGAATTTACTTGTGTAATTTGGGTTAAGTAGGCCATTCCCTGTGTGGGCGAACATGTTACAAATATGTACCAAAAACATTTGAGATAAATCAGGTATGCATATTATACACGAATGAATATTGCCCATTATGACTTTACAGTAATAGATTGCACATACTTATTCAAGACAGTCTTTAAGGGCTAAGATGGTTCCGTAGATTCACATGTAGGGAAGGTGAGAGGATCTACTTCATTGCACCATATTTTATCCCATAAGGCTCAGTCTCTCTCCGCAGAATGGCTAGCTGCCTGCTGAGAGTGTCACACAAAGCACGACTTCCCTAGCTCCAGCAGTGATCCCCAGGGATATGCATAAAAATTGCTTTCCTGAACTGATTTCACTGCTGTGAAACAAACCCATAACTTTCAGAGCGTGAGGCAATACGGCTTGACCACTTTGCCACGCAGACCCTCGGGGATTATAGATACAGCTGCTTAGACTGCTGACTTGGGTCTGAAGATAAGTAGTAAGCACTGGATGGAACACATTAAAAAAAAACAATTTAATTCATTAGAAGATAGACCTTTAACCCTTTCACCCTGGTGATTTAGAAAAAAAAATTTATAAAGTGCCAAAAACTGTTCTTATGGAATTTCTGATGTTCCCGGAAAAAATATTCCTTTAACAAAACAGCCATTTTACACAGGTCACACAAAAATCATAGCAGTTCCATTGATGGACCAAGCCAATATTTAATTGCATATGAGTAGTAGAAGTATAATCAGTAAACGCAAGTGTGGCAGAGAATCGACTGGGTAAGATCTCTCTCAGCCAGCGGTTCTCAACCTATGGGTCCTGACCCTTTTGTGGGTCAAACGACCCTTTCACAGGGGTCACCAAAGAAGATTGAAAGACACATATTCACTGCAGTTAAGTAGCAACGAAAATAATTGTATTGTTGGGGGGGTCGCTACAATATAAAGAACTGTATTAAAGGATCGGGGCAAATGGAAGGTCTGAGCTTTGAAAAATGTTTAGCACAACCCCTTCATGACCCTGTGGTATGGTCACCAGTCAGCACTGTAGCAAACAGGAAATTCTGGTAGCCTAATTTCTATGAATGAAATTATTTTCCAGAAAATAACTTCCACCTAAGTGCAATTTTTAGCAACAATGCTCGTTCCTGGTCATTCTAAAAAGTTTCCCAGGATAAAAATGGAAGCAGACCTTACAGTAGGGCTCCTCGTAAACAAGCTTCTGTAGCAGTTTGGAGAATGGTACATTTATGGGGCCATGGCACAGACTGGAAGCACCGGGTTTTGTGCTTCACAGGGAGAAGATTACCCTTGTGCTCCCCCCATCTGTTTAGAGAACAAATCCACCAACTCTGGAATTCCTGGGAGAAAATACTTTATAACAAAAAAGAGACAAAGATTTTATACACATCACTAATAAATTTGTACAAATTTATTGATATTTTAGAATATTTTGAAGGAATAAATTAACGGGAGTAATAAATAAACATGAACATGGCTGAGCACTACACAGCTGAGAACTACACAGCTGAGAACTACACAGCTGAGCACTACACAGCTGAGAACTACACAGCTGAGAACTACACAGCTGAGAACTACACAGCTGAGAACTACACAGCTGAGAACTACACAGCTGAGCACTACACAGCTGAGAACTACGCAGCTGAGCACTACACAGCTGAGAACTACACAGCTGAGAACTACACAGCTGAGAACTACACAGCTGAGAACTACACAGCTGCAGTACTGTAGGACTAAAAAATATAATTCATACAACTCTTAAAGTCACCTCAATGCCCTCATTTACTAAAGGTTAAGAGAGAATTATGATGTTATCATTCCTTTTTTTTAAATGCCTTAAAAAAAAATTCTTTGCAGTTGCTTCAGAGACCTAATGTTTCGACCATTAGATGTTTTTAGTTTGAACTGAGAAATAGCAAAGGATAAGAGATTATGGTGTGCGATGCATCATACTTTTGCTCCTTTTTTAACCTGAACGTAGAACAGATGAGTTTAAAAACCGACTGAAGATAGATTTAGCATTCAAACATTAGTAAATCAATCTCTTCTTCTTCTTAGCTTTCACCAGCTGGTAACTCCGGCAACAAGTTCAGGTTGTTCCTCCATTTCTAGACCTTTGTCTTGTTCCAGATCTTGAATTCTGTGTGCTCATCCATTTTACAGATCAGTCTTTTTTATGCAGGCTGTTGGTTCCTAGAATATCGGGCAAATGTGCTGCATTTTTTAAGGAACAACCCCTAATTAGTCGCCTTTTGTGACTTGCTTTTTTAGGGGGCGGCGATTATATTCTTTGTTCCCAAGTAAAGTGCCGGTGTGTTAGGAAATGAGCAGGCCGATAGACTGGCCGGCTATGCACCACTTGGTGGTGAATTGATGTATGACAAGATAGATATTGTTAGAGCTCTTTGGGAACAAGTTAACAATGCGGAGGCGTAGATAGATCATTACAGTCTGAAGAGAATGGTGCTGTGAAGAATTACCAGGGGATCTGGCTGACGCTCAACACTTGGTGGAAGGATGAGACTGATGTTCAATTAGATAGTTACTGGTGCCATCGGAATTTGAACTCTTCGCTTGCTGCTAAAGATGGGGGGGACGGAGCACTTATGGGAGAGTCCTGAGTTCTGTGGTGTCGATTCCTAATTCAGCATTCAACATTTCCAAGTAAATCAATCTGATTGTTTGTGCTGATAATTTATTTTGTTTAATTTCAGGCGCTGATGTGTTTATCTCAAATAAACCAGACACATTTCAAGTGTTTGTCGACAACAAGTCCTGGCTTCACAATATTTATCTCGACAAAATGTACGCATCAGGGCGGGCAGGACTCGCTCGGCGCAGCATCATAGGAAGTGGCAACATTGATGACCTGGATGACGAGGCTATCCGTGAAAAACTCCAGCTTCATGAGAGTGGTTCCGTTCTGATCAGCCAGAGTGTGCCTGATTATCTGAAGCTGAAGGAGACCGATACAGAGTTCTACAAGTTGTCGCAGTTTGAGAGCCTGGAGAAAGCAGAAGCGAAGACTCGAGCCAAGGGCAAGTGGACTCAGCAGAAAGATAATGGAACCGATGACGCTGAGACGCAATCTGACGAGGTAGATAATAGTGGTACCGATGATGAGGTGGTGGAGCAGATTCATGACGATGAGGATCGGAAGAAGAAGAATATGAAGAAGATTTTCATCAGCGGAGTGTACCCAAAGAAAACACGCAAGATGCATCACACGGGCCGGGAAGAGAAGTCAGAAACAGACATGCATGTTTTGTTTGTGGAAAATATTGTGGAATTCTTCCACAATGTCGATGAGAATACTGGTTTAGTCAATGAGACAGTGTTGAAGAAGTACCTGGCCAGACACAGAAATCTTTCGGCTGCAAACAAACGCTATCGCAGAGGTATTACTGTAACAGACTCCAAGAAAGAAAACAAAATAATTGGAGTACCTAACGGATTCAAAATGGGAGAAATTAACGCAGGAGAGCTGAATACTTACATAACTGTTAGTCCACAGAATAGCGTATTAGTCGTCAGAGATGTCAGGTTTCGGCTGGTCATTACATTGCCGAGAGATCAGCACGACTTACGCTCTTCGAGGTTCTACATTATTGTACGCTCCAGAGGTGGGAATGCAGAGAACAACACCTTCGGCAACCTGTATTTTAGACAAGACCAGCCTCACATTGATTTATTTGTGTTTTTCTCCGTGTTTTTCTCTTGCTTTTTCCTGTTTCTGGCAATATGCGTCATGCTGTGGAAAATGAAGCAAACATTCGATGCCCGGAGATCACGGCAGATGAGAGAGCGAGAAATGGAATGTATGGCGTCACGACCATTCGCTAGAATTCTGGTGCTGGTCGAACATGAAGAGCAGGCGTATTTCTCACTCTCATCTGGTCTCGTCCGGCCAAGATCTCGCCTCGGTCGCCAGCAAAACCGAAACCAGTATTATAATAACAATGACATAAATGCTATGTCAATGTTACCGGCACCGAGAGAGCTTGGAGTTTTGCCCATTGCCATCGAACCTACAGATGATGGCATGGCTGCGGTTGGCACCGTCTTATTCCAGTTACCCGGTGGTGCCACCGCCCCGTCACATTTGTGTCTGGGGTCGGCTCTCACAACCAGAATTATCACCCCAGCCATGAACCAGAAGTCAACAACTTTGCGGCGGAGGACCAGTGCCTCGTCGTGTTAACGTCATTTATCGGTTTGTTCATCGTAATTTTCTTCTTTGCTCTTTGTCGCGTAAATGTTCCATCGCGTACATGATGAACTTTTGTGACTTTATATCAATACCTCACATTTGTCTCAAATTTGATTGACTTTTTCAGTTAGTTTTTTCCCCTCTTATATTGTCATTAAAATGGCAGGATATGTTTTCAAGGCATTTATTTATTGCTGTGCATTTTATTATGTTTTTCCTTTTGTAATTACTGTACAGTTTTCCATCCATTTGAAATGGATTTCCCCATGCAGTATGTTTTGTTATTTTCTTTTATTCACTAACATTTGACAGATATGCATATTTACTCATGTTTTGTATGTTTTACCTCTCTCCTTTACTTTTATGAAAATGATGTAAAATTTCTTATCCATGATGAAAATTCCATTTTTGCTTTGTTTGTATGTGTTGCCGAGAAAATGTGAGAATTTGAAAATTGGTCATCTCAGTCAATTATTTGCTGGACACTGAATTTGAAGTAAGATTTGTTCTTACATCATTCTATCACGGGAGATGAATACCTCAAAGATGATTACGGCCAAAACCGTGACTGTGTCCGTGTCCAAGTTAAAGGATATTGCAGTGCAGCCTGGAGCTGACAGACATGATCATGTCAGTAATAGCAGAAGATACTAAACTAATCAACACAGAATGGGCATGATCAGCCACGGCCCGCTCCAAATAGAAGGCCATACATTCCCGTTTCAGCTGTATGGCCTTATATTTGGAGCTGGCCGTGGATCAGTCATGTTACGCTTATGGCGCTCATGAGATGATAGAAGTACCTAGAGATATTGTACAGAGATCTGTGGTGATGATCCTCACTGATAATTCAGTCATTACAGGTCAAAATAACTTAAAATGTTTCATTACATTCTAGTAACACAGTGTCACAATAGTTTGAATATGTAATTACATTCGAGCAGCACAGTGTCACTGATGTATAACATTCTAGCAATATTGTCACTGATGTATTATATTCTAGTAACTTTAACATTATTGTAACACAATAGTTAGGGTGTATTAAATTCTAGTAACTATAGCATGCTAGTAACACAGCGTCACAATAGTTAGGATGTATTACATTCTAAAAACTATAACATTCTAGTAACACACATTAGAATAGTTAGGATGTATTACATTCTAGTAACTATTACATTCTGTGATCACATTATCACAATAGTTAGAATGTATTGCTACAGTCTATTGACACAGTGTTACTGTCAAAATATTATTGTGTTCTCGTAATTATGAGGTTATTTCTGTAATGGAAGGTACGGCATTGGCTAGAAACACCCCTGATTAGTCACCTCCTGAGGGGCTAGAAACAGCCCTGATTAGTCACCTCCTGAGGGACTAGAAACAGCCCTGATTAGTCACCTCCTGAGGCGTGCTTATTAGGTGGCTGGGGATCTATTATTTGTGCCCAAAAATTGGGCCCCAGAACCGGCAAGGTGTTGTAGCATATTATTTGTGTATCTATTTGGTAGTATTTGCATGAATTGTTCTGCTTTCCGCTGTATCTGTTTCACAATTGCATCTACTGTATGTGTATAGTTTGCCTTCATACCTGACGGTTTATGCATTTGTAATTTTGCCAGTGCAATTATTCTGCCATGTTTTCATGTATTTCTTTCTCATTGATGTTTTAACAGGGTGTTTAACTTTTCATACCGTTCTCGTGGCTTTCAGATGGGCGGTGCGAGAGTTACACCACGGAAGAGATTTGGGCCTCGTCACATAATATCTCCATAGTTATTAGCAGTTAATAGGCGGCACAAGGATTTTTTTCTTTTTATCTTTTTTGGGGGGGCGTTTATTCCAAGGTGTAAATGGGTTCTGCCCATTTGCAACATGGCTGTGACATTTGCGCCTTTCAACAGACACATCCAGCTTCTACAGGCATTTATTGGTCAGGTTACCTTCTCGGTGTTTTTAATTTGTTGTTTTTGTTTTTTTGGATGTGTGTGTGTGTATTTTAAAGACTTGAAGGTGTCGGATGTTGGACTGTAGATTAATTAGGCGACAGATCACCCTGTCTGTACATCAGACCATGAAAGAATGAATCAATCAACACACCAAGCTTTGAATGTGTTTCCGTACAGCATATATTTTTGTCTACATGTATTTTTCATTCTCTTGTTAATTAGCCTACTAGAAGGAATATACCTTTGCCCATCAGCAAGAAATGAAAAAATTTGACTGTTTCCTCATCGTTGTCTTCTTCTTCTTCTTCTTCTTCTTCTTCATGTTCCAGGCTGTAGTGGGTCTATCTTGTTTTCCCCACAGTGGGCTTCCGGAACCCACACAGGGTATGACTAATTCAGTAAAAGTGAAGGTTCGGACCCTTTTATTTGTTCCAGTGTCTTATCAGGCGGACATATGATGCTAGACTCATATTTTTTTATAGACCAAGCCTAGCTGTAAACTGCAACACAATATGCCAAGCATCCTTTTAAGGATGAATGCAGAAGAAGAACAACAACAATAGGATAACCATCTGTGTTCATGTCAGCAAACTACACCATTTGTTACTCAAAGATTTACATGACTATCTTTACTTACAAACATATGTTAAGATCTTATTGTTAGCGTTCACTTGCCTGTACGCTCCGGCAGAAAGTACTGGAATGTTTGTCCACTTCTGGACTTTGATCTTGTTCCAGGCCCTGAGTGTTTCATGCACTCCGTTTTACATATTTGGCCTATCCACTGGTGGTACCTCTCTCTCCTCTCATGCAGGTGTACTTTGACTTTGAAGCAGCCACCTCTAATTATTCTTTTTGCCATGCTTGTTAGGGAGCAGATGGGTCTTTTCTCCCGCTCCCCTCACACGCACAAAAGGAATTTATTTTTTCAACAAATTGTTTAATTGTGTAAGTAGATTTTAACCTGGGCATTAAGCAGACAGTGGCAGGACAGATGTATTTTTTGGGGAATGTGTAGTAAATACCAGTGGAGGGATGTGAAATTGAGACAGTCCTTCATGAAAAATATTCACACTATGCATTTAGGTGCAGAGTAAACACTTGAAGACACCCTAGGGCACCATCTTCAAGTTGATTAAAGAATAAATAGATCCATTCTGCCCTAAGCTTGTCATAGAAGGTGACTAATGAGAATACTGAAATTGGATGTGTTAGGTTGAAAGATGTAGATATCATAGCCTAGCTGTAAATGACAGCACAACATTTCAACGGCCCTTTTAAAAGCCACGGCTGAAGAAGAAGAAGAACTTGAAAATTTAGTGACAACTGGCAAGTCTGATTGAAAATATCAAGGGTAAGAAAGGAGATCAAAACCACCGCCTCCTTTAGAATACGCCATCAAAATTGAACGGGTATTCCCGTTTTTGTGAGGCTGGTGTGGCTGGTCAGGACTCACTATTGTTATCGAGTAAAATTGAACTACATTTTAACAAGTTTTATTGAATGAAATAATCATTTTGAAGATAAATAAGTGGAATAGCCCACTTATTTATCTTCGAAATGATAAATCATTTGAAAACACATGTTGCTAATTAATTAAACTGTAGTTCTACTCGATAACAATGGTGAGCCCTGACCCAAAGAGTGTATAATTTGACTAATATAGAATATGAGAGTTGATTGTATGGCTCCCTGAGATGTTGTATATGACTCCCTGAGGTGTGTATAATTTTACTACTACAGTATATGAGAGTTGATTTTGTGGTTCCCTGAGATGTTGTATATGATTCCCTGAGATGTGTATAATTTTACTACTACAATATATGAGAGTTGATTGTGTGGTTCCCTGAGATGTTCATAATTTTACCCTTACAGTATATGAGAGTTGATTTTGTGGTTCCCTGAGATGTGTGCAATTGTACTACTGCTATTTACAATAGTTAAAAAAATATATATATATATATATAAATATAAAAAATTGTCTGAGATGTTTGATGCTAGTCAGTTAAAAAGTTCCATAAAACGGGTTAGGTTAAAAACCAACATTACAGCACTAGGAAAATTCCCATAACCACATCTGATGCGTTATTCTCCTTTTGATCCATTTTACTAACTTCAGAGAAAGTCATGGTATGGTTCCCTGAGATATTTTGTGTATACTTTTACTACTATAGAGAGTTGACTGTGTGGTTCCCTGAGATGTTCATAATTTTACTACTATAGTATATCAGAGTTGACTGTGTGGTTCCCTGAGATGTTCATAATTTTGCTACTATAGTATATGAGAGTTGACTGTGTGGTTCCCTGAGATGTTCATAATTTTACTGCTATAGTATATGAGAGTTGACTGTGTGGTTCCCTGAGATGTTCATAATTTTACTACTATAGCATATGAGAGTTGAATGTGTGGTTCCCTGAGATGTTCATAATTTTATGACTATAGCATATGAGAGTTGATTGTGTGGTTCCCTGAGATGTTTATAATTTTACCACTACAGTATATGAGAGTTGATTGTGTGGATCCCTGAGATGTTCATAATTTTACGACTACAGCAAATGATTGTGTGGTTCCCTGAGATGTTCATAATTTTACCAAGGTAGTATATAAGAGTTGATTTTTTTGGTTCCCTGAGATGTGTGTGTCCATTTGTACTACTACTATTGACATAGTTCCTTATGTATAATTGCCTGAGATGTTTGATGCTAGTCGGTAAAGTAGTTCCATGAAACAAGTTGGGTTAAAAACCAACAACACAGCACTCCGAGAATTCCCATAACCACTTCTGAAAGTTATTCTCTTTTGATCCATTGGTGATACTCTTAAAAATCTCCCTGTGGCATTTAAGTTCAGAAGCTCTGATTTATGTGTGTGTGTGTGTGTTTGTGTTTAAGTGATTGATAGATTGATATAGACCACCCCATACAGGTGGGACTGGAAATCCATGTACAGACACACATCATGTTGCCCTGTCCAGCATCGTAGGTGCTCATGTCTCTCCACTTATCTCATCATTGGTATTTTGAATAAATTCCACTGTTGATATT